GTTTCAACTAGGTTCGGACAGGAAATGTACAGTTAAGGCATATAGCATCGTTGGCAAAGACAAGGGACACTGGAATGGCCATTTCCGTCTCATTAGCCGTCATCAGCCCGACTCCAAGTGGCGCCCCACCCGAGGCTAGAACTCGCAACATTTTGATCATTAGTCTCACGCTGTAACTATTAGCGATCGGGGAACTTTAATCAACGAGTGTTAATAACTCCCGATTTAAACCGGCAGGACCATGAGCCCATGGCTCATCGGTTAGAGCGTTAAACTTCGATTAAAAAAATCGACGGTTCGAGCCGCAAATGGTGCACCACTCAGCGCCGGATATAACTGGCTGACGACGGCTAATAATTTAGCAATTGCCATTTTAGTGTCCCCTTTCTCTGTCGGCTAGTTTAGTTTTCGGTTTAGTATTTAGTTTATTAGTTCAACTTTAATCTTACTTTAGTCCGGTTAGATACCGCCAAAGTTGGATAAATATACTTGAAAAACTACAGCATACTGAACTAACTAAACTGAAACTACACTAATGAACATAACTCTAAACTAAAAATAAAGCAAAAGTAATAAAACTAAAAGTAACCATGGGACTAGGGGCTACGGGTATCGAAGGTGTTAGACCACCTTTTTTGTTACTTTAGTACTAGTAGTCATAAAACTTTGTTCATCAGCCAATCCGTGAATAAAGAGAAGGCATTACTCGGCAAACTTTTCTGAGTTTCCGAGAAGAAACAGAGCTGATGCAAACTACTACTTCAGTGCATTAGCAAGAGACCTACTGAGTAGTGGACATTAGAAGATTAAGGTGCCTTTATTAGAGAAACTGCTCCGCAGGTTGATAGCGTGTAGTGTGAAACACCTTCCTCTGCCTGGTTCTTTCACATGTGACTTTAGCAACTCGTGAGAGGTTATCTGTAAGCGGTTACGTAAGGTTGTGTGGGAAAATATATATGGTTCCTTAATTCACATATCGTTCTATGCCTCAGAGGCACCCGCGTTTGTTCCTCTTATCCGTAGCTATTCATGGTTAATTGTTCAAAATAATTCAACTAGCCACATTGAGGGCAGCAATTAAGTTCGATTGTCTACCATGTTTCGAATCCACAATTGCTAGAACGAAGCCTAGAGATCACGTTGCTGAACCGTATTCTGGATGCTACCAAACAAAACCCAACTTCGGTAAAGTTTATTCAAGAGTTATTGAGCGATGGCTTGGAGAGGTATGAAAATTAGGACAAGGTCGTTTCCAGTCTGGATAGCAGGCTGTGGGCAATGTTTCGAATTTAAAAAATATAGAGAGACTCACACTGGAACTGATTGAGCCACATGGGTTGGTTGTAGTGTTCCGTAGTTAGAACCACCGTGTTCAGCAGGACACAGGTCATTATGAGGATGAAGAACTGGCGACTCTTCACAAAGGCCACAACAATGCGTCTGGCACGTTTCCGTATTTTCCGCGCTCGCCTTTAAATGTGAAAATAGCAGGCAAACGAATGAATCTCATCCTCACAATTCTAGACTGCAGTAAGCAAAATGTTACAAGCAGCTGAAGTTGAAAGCAATTTTAGGTGTCTCAGTCCTTGCAAATAACTATCTGAATTGTTGAGGGGATTTACTTCGAAGTTCCAGCAGAAGACCTCATCTGGTAAAAAGTGAAGAATACAATTTCCATTCCTATAAACGGGTCTCTTAGTTCTAGCCTGTTTCATAGAACTAGTCTATTCCTTCTTATCTTCAACAAAGGGGTGCCTTACTACCTAGGAAGTCAATACCGATTCCCTAATGAACTTGTCAAGCCTTACCGCACTGGATAAGTGGTAGAGCGCATTCGTAAACGTGGACGTCACTGTTTGGTACCCTATCGAAGCAAACTATTTCTAGCTATGGCAGTCTCCTACATGGAAATAATTACATACATAGGGCCATAAACAGGACGCAGCACTAGGAACGTGCCGCCTAAGTAATAAAAGTGAACAACTGCATAATTTTAGTAATGGTAAACATTCCTGTGCCCTGACCCTAACACAAGTTCTAACGTAAATTTAAAGATTCAGTTGATCAAATTGAGAAAACCTCGCGGCTTCGGTGGGATTCGAACCCATACAGCAGAGAAAGCGTCTGCGCTGCCAACCTCTGAGCTACGAGGCACACACTTGGGTGGATTCTAGATGATTGCTTAGGAGACACTGCCTGGGCAGTAAACTAACTGTATCTGTGATTATAGGTTCCATACGATCAGTTGGTTGGACGGGTAAATTGATCCAGGTGTGATTAAATTCACGGCTCATGTTCAGCCTCGTAGCTCAATGGTAGAGCGTTGGCTGCACAGGTCCCTTCACTGTTGTGTGGCTGCGAATCCCACCGAGGCTGCGTGCTTTTCACAATTGGGGCAACAGAATGATTAAAATTAGTCAAACCCCTCTATTAAGAAAATCTAAACTGTAACCCTAGTCCTAACCCTACCCCTGCCCTCAACGCTAATCATACAGTACGCACTAACACCAACCTGAACGCTAAACTAAAACCTAACTTACATTAACATAAACCTTGAACCTAGTCCTCAACTTACCTCCAACCCTAACAATAAACCTAACCCTATTCCCCTTGGTGTACGGTAGTGATTAAGGTCAACGCTTCGGCTCGCAAAAGCACAGATCGACCTGGAATTTTAGGTTCAATTACATAACTGATGTAGCCAGTGACCACGTTTCCACTCAAAATCTGGAAAACTGGATCGATCTATTTCTCGATTTCGTTTTCTAAGTGAGAAACTTAATTGCAAAATCAGAGAAAAAATTTATTGCAATATAATCTGATCGGGAGGAGAAACAAAGCTTTAGCATGTTTGTCACATTGAACGAAAAATCCCTCTCTCGATTCATGGCGCACCCATTGGGATTATAAAATGCGCTCGACCGACGCTACTGAGGCCTGGATAAAACTAATAAACAAGGTAAGAAAGAAAAACGATTAAGATAGGGAATCCTGTGGTTGTCATTTCTAGCGTATTGGCCACCGTCAGACAGGATGTGTTTGGCAGCTTGACATTCGAACAAGGGTCCTCGCGGTTTTTAAAGTACATCGCGTTCTACCAAGGTGCACCGAGCCAAATATGTCCAAGCCATATGTCCGGACATAATGCTAAGTGGCCGAAGATTTCGGAGTTGAATTCCAAGTTATTCTCATCTGTTGGTTAACAGTTTAACGCACTAACCACCAAGCCATGGACTTACGGTCGCGCTCACGGATTAGGTTATGGGGAATTCTCTTTTTGCTTTGCCTTACAGTTGCCTCAAGACGAATAGTAGTACATGGAGATAGTAATGTGCCGATAAAGGCCAGGAAGACAGGGATGGCCACTTCTGCCTTATTGACCCTCATCAGCCAGTCATACGCAACCTAGGTGTGGAAGCTCTGTTATTCGAATCCGGTATTTCTGGTCGTTGGGTCCAACACTCTGCCAGTGACCTACGCGTCTGCTGTTCTGTCGGTTCGGATGTAAAAATATGACTATGACCGGCTGGTGACGGCTAATAACTAGAATAATATATCAAAATCTGATTTATCTTTATCTATGCTCTTTCCTTTCTGAACGTAAAACGGCGCTCAGTGAGTAAAAAATCTCCCACAATCGGATCGCGGATGCTCTTGCAAAGATAATTTACAAAGTCTGTGTGCATTTTGGGACACCGTGGATTTACGTCACTGAATTAGTTGCTATGCGCCTCCTAATCAAATCACTTTATTGATGTGGTGGATCAAAATGGAAGCTAGATTAGGGCACGGATGCCGTGATCGGGGATGCGTATAAATAAAAAAAATGTAACACGTGGGGATAGTGCGGACTTCCGCCGCGCCCTCTCCCGTCTCCGGTTTTCTTGACTTGGTCATTACACCGAGTCCTGGTAAAAAGGAGAGCGCGATAGATTCCCCGGAAGTCGACTATCACTATGACAGCACT